GAAAAATATCTTGATAATAATAAGAGTAGCGGCGACGGTATTGTAGTATGATTCACTATAATAAACATCATACGACTACTAACAGACAACGTAAGCATTGTTTAATGTCATACCAAGGAATGGTCTGATTCACTTACATCGATAGAAATATTAATAAACGATAACACTGTTTACTGTCATACCAAGGAATGGCCTAATTCACTTAACAACGACAGAAACATCAGAACTGATATTCAGCTGTTAAATTAATTCTAATGAAATATTACTATTAGCAGATCGAATGGTCACTTTCAGCGAACAAGCTCTAACACTGATTATCCGATTCATTTATCAAGATAGAAACAATCTCTAATACTAATAATAACATTTACCAGTAACTGAAATAATACGAATGATTTTGGCTACAGGCTCAAAATAGTGTAATTTAGGCAAAAGTGGGTTCTTGTTTAAACGGAATTTGTGCTGGTTATATTGATGAAAATCAAACCATATTCAGAATATGCTGTACGACCATAAAGTGTCGGATAAAAGTGTCCGAATTATTGACTATAATAACTTTATTATTATAAACTTTATTTATAATTGATGTGTAATTTATTCTGTAAAACCGGTTTTTAATTGGAGTACCATTGGCGTCACAAATAAAATTTATTGTGCACAAAAAAATTCTCATTACTTTTGCGCAGTACTGTACCTCCTGCACACCCACCACTCAGAAGATTAAATGAAAGATGTTTCCAAAAATAAGAGCAAGAAAAATAAGGTCAAGTATTTCACGGATTCAGATACTTCGGACTCAAGTACTTTATCCAGTTCGGAAATAGAAGTTATAAATATGCATAAGACTGAAGCAGTAAGAAAACGCCCTATTCTAAAGCGTAAAGTAAAAAGTAAAGTTAATTATCGAGCTTTATATCGGGGCTGGTGTCTCTGTCACATATAAAATTTTCCACCTATACCTGAAGATCTTGTGTCTCGTGTTACCAGAAATTAGAATTCGACTGCATGAAAGATTGTGATCACAAACGACCAAAAAGAGTATGCAAAATAGGGAGAGTTCAGTGTTGCAGAACAAATGTCATAGCGTTTCTAAACATAGTTTTGTGTATCGTCGCATGTTAAACTTCTTTGTTGAAGGTGTAATATGAGTAACATGTCACAGCGCGAGCATAATTGTTATAATCGGGAATTTACCTGCCATGTCGCACAACCTGCCAGGTCGTGCAAGCTCAAATATCATCCTTTCATTGGACACTCAGATGGCTTCTCCTCCATAAATAGAAATATTATGAACTGTATGACGTGTCGGGTTGTGCGACTTGGCAGGTAAATTCCTGATAATATAATTGTTTACGGAGAAATTTGTGACGTTTTTGTTAAATATATAAGGTAGTTCTTTTTTTTTATTGTTATCTCCAAGATTCCTATCTTGACGACTCGAAAAAAGTAAGTATAAAAAATAATTACTCGATTTTTCAAGTTTTACCATCTAATTAGTATCTTAATTCAAAGAAATGCCAGACCCTATAACAACAACTCTAGTTGGTGCATTCGTTAAGCATGAATTGGACAAATACAAGGATAGAAAAAAATATAAAAAAGAATTATACCGACTGGTTGCTCGCTTATTCGCAAGACCCGCCTACGATGTTAGCTTGAGGGAAGTAGAACAGTTATTAAACGAAATATATGAATACAATCCAGAAAAACCAGACGAATTTTATGGCCTTCGTGAACTCGAAAATTTATATAATCAAAAACGTAACGGAGGAAGTACCCAAGTATGCAACTGTAAAGATTGCAGGAATCAAAGAAGTGCCCAACGATGTAATTGCAAAAATTGCAGTTATTATTATTATTATTATTATTATTATTACTAGAAGACAAATAAATTATAGGAATAGTGATTTGTTTTTGTTTTTTTTTTTTTACTTTTTTATTTTATTCTTTTAATTTCTAAATTTCCATGTATTTTCTCTTCTCTCCGAATAAATATAATCAAACTTTATTCGTATTCAGTAAAATCTCAGTGCACACTCTATAAGTACACACTATAATCCTGTCAATTTCAAATTGACGTACAGTACCAATTCCCCAGTGGTCGCTTTCATTGATCTGCAACGAGATATAACATGGAAAAATTATTTTTCTGCTCAAATATATGAATAATGGGTTATCATAATCTCTTAACCTTTTATTGATTCCGTGATATACTCTTTGAAATATACATCGTCATCCTGGATTTTACAGGTCGGTGGTGGTTTGAATAACGGGATCGCCTTCGGATTCCATACCGTTTTGCCAGCACTTCTCTTAGACTGCGGTACGACGAAAACGCCCTCCTTAACCTCTTGAGCGAACTCCACAAGAGTCGTAGCAGGCCCCACTTTAAACCTGCAATTCCTGAAATCTTGTTTGCTCAACTTGAGGAAATTATTTTGAAATCGTCTTCGTCAAGTTGCAAGTCTTCTTCCCCACGCAAAAATTCGATAAGATTTTCTGTGTCCAACTTTCTAACCACTTCGGCTAAAGTGGGATCCTGCTTTTCTTCGGTTGCATTATTAGAAGCGGGAGCTGGAGTTGACATTTTCGAGTTATATATGATTTTTTCGTGGAATGTTATTGGTAGACTGCGGAATGGGACACAAGACAAAAGCAAAAAAACGATTAATGGGGCAGGCATGGGTATATGTGAGAAATGTATTCGGTTCCACAATGTCATGTACTACGTTACTTTTCGGCAGAAAAATTTCCGGTTGATTAAACATCTGTATTGTTGTATGTCAGATCGGAATTTATGTCAGTTCGGAATGGACATATGTCAATTTCGAATAGACATATGTCCAT